CAGAAACAAAGTATGGGCAGTTTGGAACCGTGCGATTCTCGGCTGACTTCCTTGAATAAGATGCCCTTCAGTTAGGGTAAGGATTTTAGAAAAAAGTATCTTCTTATAGTCGGAAAAATACGGTAATACTGCATGTGACTATTATTATTTTGTGTTCAGTATTCTCTGATTTCCAGCCCAGTCTTCACTGGCATGCTCTTTAAATAGACATTTTTATGGTTCAAAATGAATCTTTTCTCATTTTTCCAGGCAACTATCGGAATTGATTTCCTTTCAAAGACTATGTATTTAGAAGACCGCACGGTAAGTGGAGTTATCTGGCTACTAAGGTTTTACTGATTCATCTCTAAGCTCTCTTCATAAATCCCATGGTACTCTCCCAGTCAACGTATCTGTGGCTTGGATCTCCAATATGGAGCCCAAGGGCACCAATATGCCCATAGATATCTCCTTGATGTCTCCTATGTTCCGTCCCCGATTACCTTTTACATTAAATTTTTTTAAAAAGTTGAAGTTTTAAAAAATGGAAGGTGGCATATTGAAATCATTTTAGTTCCATAAGTACATTTACCCTCAGATTTCCAACTTTTGCTTGGATATCTTTCAGCTTGCCCAGAAAAAGAGCCCAAGCAGAATTACTAGGGAATGTTCTGCAGGTGGGGTAAATAAATTATTTTGTAAATAGTTGTGTCCTCTGGAGGCCATGACTCCCACCCCCAGCCCAGTAATAATTTTACAAAAAGTGTCCATAAACATGTTTTCAAAATATGCCTTCCCCCAGTCTGTAGGAAGAAGGAATTGGCAGATTGAATATTTTTAATAGACGCCCACCTCTCAACCTGTGGTTGGATACAGACAGCCTGTGGCGTCAATTCCATTGCTTTATCGTTGACCCAGTTTGCAGGCTTGATCTCCTGAACCTCCTTTAGGGGTTAGTAAGATATTCTTTTAAGAAGAGAGAGAGAAGGGGCATGAAATGGAATTTGGTATCCATGCCTTAGATCAGATTATATATAGCTTGCAAATCAGGACTAGCTATAAGAGGGGTCATTTTTCTCTCCAGCCTCATGGCCCTGTCTTTTATTTTGTCAGGCGTGTGCATCAATCTGCTGGTCTTGGGGGGCTTGAGGGAGTCCAGTCCATGATGCCTGATAAGGGTTTGAACCCAGATCTCTTTGGTCCAAATAGTTATCCATGAGGTCAGCTTGCCCTTGTTTTACTGGGTTACCTATTCCTCAGTCTGAAAAAGCTGCACCTTGAATATTTCCTTGCTTTTTGGTTTTAAGGGATGCCAAGAGCATTGTAATTTGGGACAAGTTCTTATCTTAGTCATAACAGAGATTGTATATAGTTATATATGGGGGAATTCAACTTTACAAGGCAAGATAATTCTTGTCTTAAGCTGTCATCCTGACCAAGCAATAGGTTTTTACAATTGTGAATATTTTGAATGGTTAACTCAGTGATTCTAGACATATTAAAGTATCTTGAGCCACTTCCTGACTGGGGTGAAAAGCAGCTATTCTCATTGAGCGTCTCAGTATGTGTGTGATGGTTGACTCGCCTAGCAAACGGAACCAGGACAGAAGTTGCATGGCAGAAGAAATTCTGTCATTCTGGCCTTAATGGACTTACAGTCCCTGTACATGGAATCAAATATAAGTAAAGATAATAATAGAAAATTCAAGCCCAATGGTTAAAGAGATTGTTGGGGGTGGGAAATAAAGGCTACCAGATTTTTCATAAAGCGTTGCATCTGGAGGAACAGATGACAAAGCCTTTTTTTAAAAAACAAGCTCTCATTTTTAGTTTTACGCTGCATTTTCGTTTCATTTTAACTTCCCTCTTATTTACTTGCATTGTTCTGTCTCAAGTGTGTGCCATTTTTTTTTAATTTCACATACGTTTTGCTTTGTTTTTATTTTTGTCCATATTCCTGCTCTTCTCTTTCCTCCCCTCCACCCTTTCCCCCACATTTTCTGTTTTCCCAGATCAGGCTGCAGCTGTGGGATACAGCCGGCCAGGAGAGATTCCGCAGCCTCATTCCCAGCTACGTCCGGGACTCTGCTGCGGCTATCATTGTCTTTGACCTGACAAGTAGGTACTGGGGACTAGCCTCGGCCAGCCCCTTGCTCTGATTGAGGAGAGAACTGGGTTCTAATTCTCAGGAAGTAACCAGCTCTCAGTTTACCCCAAAGGGAGGCAGTTGGATAGAATCTGTTGCCATGACTAAGAGGGCACCCCTGGCTTTTATTTTTTTAGTATAGAAGTGACAATGAGACAAGCATTTCTCTTCTAGAAATACTGATTTTGTATCCCTCCTAAAGGAAATATATCTTATTATGGCAGGAAAATGTGAATTCCCCTTCTATGGTATATGCTGGTTCTGATCAGAGCACTTTTAAGTGTCTGGCTCCTTAACAAAGTCCTGAGATGAAGGCAGAATCCACTAACTGAGTTCCTATCCTGCTTTTGAATATACAAAATTATCCCTGTCTAATCCCTTGGCCATCACTATGTTTTATAGCTGCAGTCTCCACAAGTTATTGAGAAAACAGGTATTCTCCCAAAGATTGTGCAGGAATACATAGCCTTGACATTTTGGTTGGCTTTATTTGAAGGAGCTGAATTATTTGTTTTCTCTTACTCCTCTGCTGTTGTCAATTCTTTGAACATCTTAATGTGTTTTTTTCCCCCTATACATTCTCCACTTCATTTGTTTATGCATTTTTATTCCCCCTTCATCAAAAACTGATTTTAGAGCAGTTCATGGTAACTTGACAATTGCAGAAAGAAACCTAATAAACAAGTGTGTAGTATGTAGAAAAAACATTTGATAACAGAAAGTTATGACCCCAGACCACTCCATGACCTCAGCCCTTTCTGAGTATTCCAGAAGTCATCCAACTTCAAACTGGGTTCTTTCAGGTGATCCAGAATTTACCTGAATGGAACATTTGGACACCTCTACCAATAATCCAATAAAACTCAAAGCAATACATGCAAACTATACTAGATGTGCTAGCGCCGATCTGATGTCATTGTTAAGGCACCAGGCCAGAAACTGGAAGACTGCAAGTCCTAGCCCCACCTTAGGCACAAAACCAGCTGGGTGACTTTGGGCAGCAGGCTTGGTAATCTTTTAGATCTCTGCATAAATAAGGGGGCCTAAACATTTTTTATGTCCCTAGAACCATGCATAACAAAAGAGGTGTCAGTTGATTATTGGTTCTGTGCAATCAGTTTGATTTCGGCTATCAGAATGAAATTTGGGGGGAAATGTTGTCACACCCAACACCTCTATATTTGCAATTTAGCAGTCAGGTTCCATAGTAGTACATGAAGGTCTGCTTCCTGTTTGCCCAAATTTCCTGTGCTACCTTGTTGAAAAAATTGTGGGTATGCTAGTAGAAGGAAGGTGGTGGACAAAGTAGTTCTTCACCATGTGGTGGTGCTCTTTTATCTTTACTGTTACTATAAATATTCAAAAATAAAATTTGTTGACCTGCCATTGTAGAACATGCTTAAGGAGACATCCTATTTTTTTTCTTGTCCATCAGGAAGGATCATTGACAAAGAAACATGTTGTGTGTCTTGAAAATATCCCTGTTTTACATTTAGGTCTCCCTAGAAAATGATGGTACGCAGGCACCACTGGAAGACTTGGTGTGGCATACATTTCTTTAGGACATTGATCATGTTGGCATAAAATCTCCCACTGCAGGCTTTTTGCAGTGATCCCACACAGTAGGGCTGCAGTTGCCTGACTGAACAGATTAGCTAATTGTAGACATTTCCCTTTTCTCCAGCAAAGTTCCATTCACCTTCTATGTATACAGGAAACAAAAGATTATGGAAACAAATAAGTATTGTTATTCCTATTCTAGGGTAGTGTGCAAGTAAGTGCCCCTTCCCTTCCCGGTAATATTCATCTCTTAATTCTCCTTGCAGTATCTGTCCCCAGTTCCTTCCACTACTTAATATTTTCCTATTTTTTTCCTGCATTTTTTCCCTTCTCATTATAGTCTTTAGTAATTGTGTAACTGGGAGTCTTATTTTGTGATTCTGGCAGTATGCAGATGCAACAAATAAATAGCATTTTCTGCAGTGGGGTGCTGAATTCAGGCCTGTTCTTAAAATAATTCACTTGTGTACCAGTACTCATCTTAAAATGATAAATTATTATGCCAGCAGTTCTTGATTTGGGGCCTGCCTTGATGAAAGTGTGTTGCAGTGTTTCTCAACCTTAGCAACTTTAAGATGTGTGGACTTCAACTTCAAAGGCTGGGTAGGGAATTCTGGGAGTTGAAGTCCAGCCATCTTAAAGTGCCAAGGTTGAGAAACACTGGTGTATTGGTTTGGGAAGCCTTTTCTTGAGTAGAGCAAGTGGATATCTGTCCAGCTTGTTCTTACTGCATTTGTTCTTTGCAGTTCAATCCTTATTGGGCTGGTTTAACCCTACATGATGTAAACATTGCAGTGGGCTTGCTTGAAGAGTCTGTGGCACAGCTCTTGTAACACTCTAAGCCATGATATGGTTTAGTTTGGGCTTAGGGTGTGGTATTATCTGTTGTGTTTGCAAACCATCATTTATGTCTTAATATCTTATGTAAAACCAGACAGTTTTGCTTTATTTAGCCTACCACACTTGAGCATGATAGGTAAACTCAGTCACCACGTCCTTGGGAATGGGTTTGGCTTGGTATTTGTGTTGTGAAATGGATCAGTTAGGAGTTTGGAAGAGTGGAGTCTGTTTTACAAACTACAGGTAATCCTCACTTAACAATGGTAATTGGGACCAGCAATTTCCATCGCTAAGTGACGCATTCATAAGCGTGATGTGATGTGGCTGCACCGCTTAGCAATAGAAATTTGTGTGCTTTCAGTTGCTGTCATTAAGTAAGGATGTTACGTGGTCACCATTTGTGATCTCTTGCCATTGACTTTGCTTGTAGGAAGCCAGCAAAGAAGGTTGCAAATGACAATCACGTGACCACAAGGATGTTGCAACTGATGTCAGTCCTAGGGCTGGTCATAAGTACCACTTGTTCAGCACTGTCATAAGTTTGAACGGTCGCTGAATGAGCGGTCATTAAGCGAGGACCATCTGTATATACTTACCTAGTGGCCCCACTTAATATTCTTTTCCTGTGCTTCATTAATTATGTTGGTTGGGTTTTGAAAATAGCAATATCTTCAGTACTTGGCTCTCACTTGAAACTATCAGCTTGAGTAATACCAGAATAATCTTCATTTGTAGGTCCAGCTGGGTGTTTTTCTCCCTCTAGTAGTTTTCAAGTAGACTAGGCCTACAGCATGGTTAAAAACGAAACAGAAAAGATCATTTTCTTCATGGTGTCTCTTTAATTGAAATGAATTCCTTCGCACTAAGCCAAATTGTACACTGTTATCCCACAAGCATTCTGATTTCTGAGTCTCCTGGCTACTGTGGCTGTGAGCCTGGGTTTTAATGCAGTAAAAATTCTTATTGAGTGTGTATCCTGACCTTTCTCCAATAAGCTTGGCGTGTGGGGTTATCTCATTTTTTTTTTTCATTTTTTTCAGAAGACTTTATGACTAAGCAGGGATTTTCTTTGTCTAGTTCTCTTATCGTTGTGCTCCTTTCATTATCACAGGACTATGCTGTACAGTATTATGTACTTTACAGGAAGAAACATTTTCCCCATTGCATGCTCAAAAATAAGAATTTTGGCTCCACTTTATAATGGTTTATGAACCTCTACGAATCTGTCAGGTTTCTAGTGGCAGCTATAAGGAAAATCCAATATGTAATCTTGCAGCATTACTTTCAGCCCAAATGAAGTAGATTTTCAAGGAAATACTGATTTTCTTGAAATAAGTCTTTCTCATATACCCCCATTACCTTATAGTATGCAAAGATAAAGGAGTCCATGGCTCTGAAATTAATCTTAATTTGTACCATTGCCATTCTTAATTGTCTTGATGGAGAGCTGTTGGAGTGCAATTGGTAGATAGCAGAGAGCAGTAGCTCTGTGTTGTGAAAGCCCCGTGTTTTTAATGTCAGCTGCTGCACTTTCTGGTGAGATATCTATGCAGTTCTGTAAAATTCCTTCTAATGCTTTGCCTTTTCTCTAAAGGACAGTTTCTTCTTCTTCTGTCTTGTGTCCTTCTGTTTCTTCCCTGGGCTGGTACCAGCAGGTCCGACTTCAGCTTTGGGACACAGCAGGCCAGGAACGGTTCCGTAGCCTCATTCCCAGCTACATTCGCGACTCAACTATTGCAGTGGTAGTCTATGACATTACAAGTGAGTGAGAGATTTGTTTCATTGCACACCTAAACACTTTGGGAGAAATCAGAGCACAGAAGCCCAGAGTCATCCATGAAGGCTCAGCGGGCACGGCTCAGTTGATGCCCTGCTGGCCAACAGAAGGCCCTAGTACCTTGCCCTGGGCAAAGAACCATTCTGAAGCTTTAGTCTCTTCCTTGACCTGACTGCAGTGCGTTGAACTGCCTTTTCCTTGCAGATCTGAATTCCTTCCAACAAACCTCCAAATGGATTGACGATGTGCGAACAGAAAGAGGAAGTGATGTCATCATCATGCTGGTCGGCAATAAAACTGACCTTGCAGATAAAAGGTAACTGTAGAGTTTGAAAAGAGAATGCTTTTTGGGGGAAGGGTGGATATACTAGAAAAATTCCTGGCTAATACTTGGAAGGATCAAGGCATGGACGGGGAAACTGTATTCACCCAGAAGTTGCTGAATTCCCAGCATCCCTCACTCTTGGGTATGAACTTGGGGCTGCTGGGAATGTAGGTCAGCAATATCTGGAAGACCACAGATTCTCTGCCACCTGGCCTGCAAAGAAGCCCTTTGTTGTCCTTTTCATCAAAAGAATAGAATTAAATATTGGAAAAGGATATAACAATACTAAGAGTCGATCCTTTAGTGAAGATGGACACACTAATTTATTTCTTTAAATTTAACTCCAAGATAGATAAAAATCCAGTTGTTGCAGCTTACTCAACCAGCACAAAAGTTTTATGCATGGACTTTGGTATCATTTCTAAGAATGAAGTAAACACACTCTCTTTATTTAGAGTGTGTTTACCTCATTCTTCAGCCAGCAAGACTCCCAGAAAAGCTTACATAGATCAGTGATAAGTTTCTTCCAGCTTGTAATGCAAAATTTATGACACATAAGAAAAGTGGTAGAAAGAGAAGAAGGGGCTGAGGGAGAGTCACTGGCTCTTAAAACTTCGGTTCTTAGCCATCTGAGATCTTGATGGAAGCTTGATGGAATGGCTACAGTTGAGAGCTACAGTAGGGCAAAAGGCCTTGCTTCTTTCCCCTAAGCTCTGCTATCTCTTGGAAAAGCAGGATCAATGGTTCCTTGCTGTGTATCTTTTTATGTTTCTTGTGTTAGAGTTTACGTTGGAAATTATCTAATTAGGCCTGTCCCACCAAGTTCTTGAGTTCTGTTATGAATGCAAAAGGAGAAATTCCTGATCATAGTGCAGTAAAATCTTTGTGTGAGCTTAGCTTCTGGTTAATTTGTATTCAGTAGAAAAAGCTCTGTTGCTCATGCAGAAATTCTCTCTCACTGGAAGCCATTTAACAATAAGTTTATTTTGGCACCCCAGAAATGAGCCCATGAAATAGAGGAGTTGGTTGGAAGTCCAGATCAGAGATTCCCAAAGTAATACATTCCTTTTTTTGCCTGTACCCTGCTGATTATCATTAAAGAATGCAAAGTGTTGGGTTTTTTGTTTGTTTTTAAATAACTACCAGCCAACAACTCTGGGATATTGGTCAGTCAAAGAACTTATTGCTAGAAAGATTCTGTTTGATGAATATATTAAAAGAATTACAGAAATGTGTTGAGCTCCTTCTGAGGTTGCTTCAATTTTCACGGCATGTTATTTCACAATATAGGTACCACCACAGAGCAAGTTAAATGAATTTCTGATACTAGAGAAATCTGACAGAACCCATTAAGAATGTGCCATTGATAGACATCTGTACAGCATGAGTCAAATTGTATAAGAATGCAGTAGGGAATCCTGTGGGTGATCCTGTGAGTAGTTGGGCCTGAGCTATTGTAAGATATTATCTAACCTCCTGAATACTTTGAACTGAGTTCAAATGCCACTGACAATCAGTAAAGGTGTTTCAATACGGCGGTGTGTCCCACTCATCTGTTGTAATTTCCCTGCCACTTTTGCGGACTGTGCATGGACAACCACATTGTAATAATCCAACCTTAAGTTTACCAGAACAAGCCGACCAAAGTCAATTAATGTCAATGACAAGGAGGGCCTTTTAATTGACCATGCAGTGTGAATGCTGGATCCAGGGGGATCCCTTGGCTGCAAATTTGATCCATATGGGAGAGTCCAACCCTGTCTAGACTCTCCCAGATCCTGAAATCTAAGCTCTAGAATCTTGTCTGCATTTAGTTTCAGTACACCCAAACCTTTACTCTCTGGAGACACATAAAGGCTTTGGACACATCCAAAGAAAAGGAGAATAGTTGAGTATCATCAGCATATTGAAGAGAATATGGAACAGTTTTGGACCACCCCCCACCCCTCTTTCCAAGATACGTTTGGCCTCCCATCCTGGTTGTGTTCAAGCGAACTCTGAAAATCTGGCTTTTACCCCAGGCCTTGAGTTAGAGCAAGTGGCAGAGACCACTTCTAAGCCCTCCATGTGAGCTGTTGGGCATTAGGATAGCCAGTACACTAACTGAATGCCCAACCTTTGGTTTATTTTCCTTTTCGTTTCTGTAGAAGAGCCCAAGAACTGAATAGAATATCTAAACCAACAATAAAACAGGATTTACTATAAAACTAGGTATGTTTAGCTTGTTAGAGGTGAACTTGCTTACAGATAGATAATTCCTGCAGAGCTGCAAGATAACTTTTTACACAATATGGGATTCAGCCAAGCAAAAGCTATTAAATCATGCAAGTCTGTCCTTTCTGTTTATGCACTCCCTTGCAGGAATCCAAAATAGGTTTAGCCAGTGCCATTGGCTCGCATATGTTTCTTGGAGCTTTGATTTAGCAGGACATAGAACTGAACAAAAAATATGTTTCCATTACTGTAGGTCTGATGACTTCAGTTTGCCCACAGCCTTCAGCCAAATATCATATGCCCCTTGACCTAATTTCAAAAGCCTTCTTGGGAAACTTATGCCTTTGGCAGGCCGATTGCAGAGGCCTTAAAAATCTCATTTCTTACTCTTCAGGCAGATTACTACAGAAGAAGGTGAACAGAGAGCCAAAGAACTAAGCGTGATGTTCATTGAGACTAGCGCAAAGACGGGCTACAATGTGAAGCAGGTAATCAGCTGCAGGGTTCAGCAGGAGCCTCACATTCAGATTTTGGGCCGCCTCTTGTCAGATCCAGCTCGAGACCTCTTCTTAGCAAACATGGACCTACTTTGCTTAACACTAATGTCTTCTACAAGATGAGCTTTTCCAGCTTGAATGATGTTCCACTTTTAGTGTCTCTAAAAAGAGCAGATGCAATTTCACTCCTGATTTAAGTGCTTTCCATGCTAACTGCTGGAGTGCTTTCATCAGGGTTCCTCTTGAATATGTTTTAATTCTCTTTTCATGTCTGTTCTCAAGTGGCTTCATCTTCCACCACAGGCACTGCATTCACCACTTTTGGGGTGTTGTCTTTCAGCTTTTCCGTCGTGTTGCTGCTGCCCTGCCCGGGATGGACAACGCTCCTGAGAAAAGCAAAGATGACAGTATCCTTATCCTGCCTATCGGGAGCTTTGTCCTGTACTTGCTGCCCTTTTCTGTCTGCCGTGCCATTTTTAGAGAGTGCGTCTCTCATTGGGGTCCCTTTTTCTGCCTTCAGCGATCTTATAGGCAGATTGCAAAAGTCACGCGTGGCTTCTTCCTGCTGTCTCAGCCTTTAGGCCCATCAATTTTGCATGCATCCAAAGGAGCGTTGAAAAGTCGTTAAGTAGCACAAGGTCCAACCTGGTACTTCTGCTAGTTTCTGGAAGTTGGGCCGATTCACCTCTTTAGAAGCCATTTTCTGGAAGTAGGTGCTGCGAGGCCTGATCTTCTCATAATGACAGTTGCTGCCATGATTCCTCTAACCGGAACAAGCATTTGATTGTTGAGTTTGGTATGCTGAGAACTTACTCGTTCTTTCCAGAGGACAAATCAAGGTGGTCCCATTTTTGTTATTTGCATCCCTTCCCTTGCATTTTTACAGGTAGCAGGTAGGACAAATCCCAGTGGGAAGGACAAAGACAGATCCTTTCAAGCTCATTTGACTGGCTTTGTTGGATGGGAGAGATCTGTTTGGGTTTTGTATGGGGTTTTTTCCCCCTGCTTGTTCTTCCACTGCACAGACTATTTCCTTTAACCTGTTCTCCCCAGTGATTGACATCAAATTAGAGAAGCCTCCGGAGCAGCCTGTAACGGAGAACGGCTGCTCTTGTTAAATGACCTACAGCGTGGCAGCCCCTTCCCGATTAGCCAGTTCAGTCTCACTGAAGAGCACCACTTCTCATTGACTACCGAAACACAACTTTCCAAGGGCTGAAAGCCCCGTTTGATAGGCAACTGGAGTCATCCTGTCTCCTCTCCCCGTCGTGTGGACAGCCCCAGCTGCTCCCATTTACTGCATGGTGTGAACCCTCAAACGCCTCCTGCCCTTTGCTGGTTGTTGCACTTTGGTGCTGCTGTGGCACTCTTTTGCTAGGTTTCCTTGCTGGGTTGTCCTCTGAATGTGCAGGGGAGGAACTATTTCCACCTTTAAAGAAAAATACTGATAAAATTATCATAAAGAACTAAGTCATTCTTCTCCCCCCCCCCTTTTTTCTTTTTTCTTACTTTTTTACCACTGCTTTTTATTCATTTCCAGAGGCTGTTCCTCTGTTTGATTTGGCTATGCCTTTGTTGATAGCAAGGAGAAATGTGTGTCCTCCTATTTACTTTTCTGTTCTTCCTTCCCTAAGGGTGGTGCTAAGGAAGAAGGTAACACCTAAAAGAGGACTGACGCACATTCTTCTCTCTCTTTCCAGATTGTCTAAGTATCTTTTATTCCAGATGGTCTCATTTACTCCACCCCCACACCGTCCATTGCTGATATGTATAGAGATGGTAGGCAGAACTGGACAGATTGGGGTAGGGTTCTGATTCTTATGTGGGAAGCCTGGTTCCCGCATAGTGATGAGTTGGGAGTCTCCAAATTGGAGGATGAGTATTCTCCATTAGTTTATTCCACTCCACTCTCCCCCTCTCTTGATACACTCAGAAAGATCCTGTTCTAGGTGAGTTATGAAGTAGTTGGTACCTGGATTAAGCAGGGACTTCTCTAGACTCAGGCCAATGTCAGGAGCTGCTATTTTTATATAATTTATCACTTATGAATTATTTGAAATATGCAAAGTGCTTTACAACTGCCTTCACTTTTTGCTTCCTTCCTTGGTTTGGAATTATGTCTCTACATCAGTCTTCTCCAACCTACAGATGTGCTGAAGTACTGTACCTATAATCCCCAGCCACTAAGGCCCGGGAATTGCAGTGCAAGGCATTTGGAAAGTGTTAGGTTGGGGAAGCTTCCATAAATGGCTATGAATGTCACGCTCAGTCCTTGTCTCCCTGTTGGAAGCCCTCATTTGATTTCTGGGTCTTTTAATCCACTACCTTATCCTGGCCTTCAAAACACAGATCTCTAGATAAACATGGAGTTGATTGCTTTTATTTAATATACCCTGGGAGAGATGCTAATTCTTGTCAGACATCTGCTCGTTCTGCAAAGAATATTGTACGTATTTGAAAATTGTAGAGGTTTGTGTAGATCTCTTGATCTTCTGATTTAGCACAGAATTTATTTTCAGGTATCTCCTCTGTTACTGAGTGCAAGTTGCATTAGCATGCAAACTGACATGGGAAGACAGGTAGAAGACGGCATGAACTGGATAATGTTTTCTGATGATATTTGGTACTTGAATAACATGCTTTGTTTGGTCTGTGGCCCTTCTTGTCTGAATGTTATCCTCCTCTAGATCAGCCTTCCTGAATTACAGCTCTCGTGTTCCTAATCCAGATGGCCACTGGCAGTATAGGCTGAAGATTGTGGGGATTTGTAATTTGAAACAAAGGATTATGGGAGTTGCCATCTGACCCATCTAAAAGGTGCTCTGGAGAATAGCTCCTGTTGTGCTGGGCTTGCTTTTGAGCATAGTTTCTGGAGAACTCTGTATCCATAATTTTATGGCTGGGTGATAAGGTGATACAAGTATATAACTCATCTAGGTTGGGGATGATAAGGCTATATTAACCAATTTCTTTGGACTTAGTTTGAGGTGAAAGGATGGTCAAAATACAGGGTGTGGTCTTTTGTGATTTTTCTCATCTTTTCTGCTTACTGTGAGCTCAGCTCACCTGGAGCCAAAAGAACTTTTATCCTCTTCTGAAGGAATTTTGGGGATTAGAACCGGAAAGGGTTATCTAAGGGGAGTTCTGCCTTTCAGCACAGCATAAGCGTTTCTTTTTCCCCTGTCAGAGGATTTCCTTGGTCTGTGCTGAAGAGCTTCTCTCACGGAGAGTCCTCCTGGTTCAACTTCTGGCGTGTGATTCTCTCACAGGGGCTGAGTGCAAAAGATTCATTTTCTTCTTTTCTATAAAACACCCTCCTTCTCCCTGGCCCCGCCCACTTGCCAACTCTTCTGCCACAGGAAACCACATAATGGGAAGCACTTTCCATCAAACGTTGCTAATCTTTATTCAAGCATTACTGCTGTAACAAAAATATCTGCAAGATCCATCATAAAATACTTGAGGAACGCTTGAATTAAGTTTCTTGCTTGAGATTCCAGGTTTTCCATATAGATTACCCAATAAGGTTTCAGTTGGTTACTGCTACAGTGAGTTTGTAGCTTTTTCTTAGCATTTCGGTCTTCTGCTCGTACTCCCCAATCTGGAAGCCTCATGCATAAAGGGGGACAACAGTCACGCACGTGCCATACAGTATAATATTTGCATTAGACTTGTCTGCATCACCCAGTTCCAGCACTCCATCATCTTGTTTTTGGATTGGGATGATCAAATACAGGTATGCTGGCTGTTCTCACTGTTTCTCGCATCTAGGAATTGGTGCTTGTAGGGCCAGCCCCTTAGCCCTGGAACCAAGGCCTCCCATTGTTTAAAATCCCAGCTTTTTGCTGCCTTATGAAGCAAAGGCTTCTGAACAGCAGTCTGTGGTCTTGAAAGCGGTAAGTGCATTGAATTATTCCCAGTTCTTAAAGCACCATTGACCCCTTTCAATACTCGGCCACACCGAGTCCTCCTCCTGAGAGAATCATTCACTGCTGTGATGCGCAAAGCCTCTCTGATGTGTTCTCACACGTCTTTGATCTGAACCCAGGCAGCCCATGTCCTCTTTTCCTCTCCAGCAGAATCAGCAAGCCTTACGAGCTTGGCTCCGTGAGTGTTGAACGTGAACACCTTTGCAAAGGCCTGTTCTCAACCTTTGTAGATACTATATATAGATATAGAGAGAGACATACACTCCCTGTTGTGTGGGAATTGCTGATGTCCTGTCACGTGTCTGTTCCTTTCTCCGCAGCTCCCTTGGGGCTGTTGCTCTCCCTTTCTCTTCTGGCCACCCAGTCCTGCCACTGCTGTCGTGGTGTTCTTTGAAGACGCACTGGAAACTTGTCTCTCTGGAGATTAGGGATTTAAAAAAGGGGGGGGAAAAAGCATAAATGTTTGTGGGTCGGGATGGCAGTTGGGGGAAGAACCTCGTGAGCGACACTGTTCACTTTCCCCTGCCTTCTCTGTGATTGTGTATAATACTTGAGTGTGTGTCTCGGGCTCTGCTGTCTCCTAGCTGTTAGCCAACTAAGTGACTCTTGATATATGAATATTGACTGTCAGACTGCAACTGTGTATCACACTAAATAAATTCAGTTCACCACAGTTCCGGTGTCACTGTGATGGTTTTTAGGGGAAACTCGGCATCCTGTATCACTCGCCTCTAGCTTTCGGTGAGAGAGAGTAATACCTGGCGAACAGGTATTATAGGAGGAGAGCCTCGTTAGTCTGCGATGGCAAGAAATCAGGGGTATAGTAGCACCTTTTCTCATATCTCAAAACTCATTAAAAGGCTTAAGCCCAATTTTCTGTCCCAGTTTTTTATGGAAGCTATATGGAGAAATGAAGGAAACCACCGAGCATCTTACTTGGCCCCTTTCCTTCAAAGCTAGTCTGTAACCACAAGGACCAAAAACCTTTTAAAATATAGTTCAAGTGAAGAGAAGCGCTTCTAGCTCTCTGGAATTCTTCTGTCAAATAAACTGCCTTCTCTCTGAATGTGTACCAGTTAATCTTGTCTGTTTTAAAAGGCAACACTCTTTTTATCACTTCACGCTCTTGCAGGGTTTGAGGATATGTACAGTTTCCATAGCTTCGGAGCTGTAATTCTGATACCCTTGGAAAACTAACACCACCATCTGATAAAGATTGGATAAGCTGCACAGGGCTAAAACCAACGTTAACTCTTCTTTTTTTTCCTGGAATATCTGTTTTTCTTCCTATGCACTGCGCTACTGTATTCTCACTGCCCCTGCCTCTTGTGATTAATAATCATGAGAACTGTGAGATGATTTTCCACAGCAGTGCATGTGAAGAAAAAATTGATTGCATCTCCTTTTTATCTACGCCGTACATCCTCTCCACTGTAGCTGCAATTTTAGATGGGTGCGGCTCTTGGAATATACAATTTGATATGTGGGGGTTTAGTCATCAGAGGAGATAATTTATAGCTTTGCAAGAGTGGCCGGTCTAACGTGCCCTCAGTGGCTCATTTTGCAGTTTGGTTTAACACAGGAGTGTGGATAAATGTTGTGTAACGAGTAACATTCCTATGTTTTCCTCCCACTAGCCAGAGAGATTGCTTTGAACAGCTTTGCAATCTGTTATCCCCCAGGGTTTGTCACTGTTAGGTAATGGATGTGGACTGGCCTGTCAGATGGGTGCAATTAAAGCATAAATGTGAACTAGCTCAATAGGACAGGTAAGACTAGTGAAATAAGTTTGGCCAAATCTATAAAACCCATAATTGGGCAATTAGGTTCATCAGGCCAACCAAAATTGCGGAAAAGACAAAGGAAAACTTGCACAGCAGTGGCATTTTCTGTTCTAATAAACCCAGTGATAATCTGAATATTCCTGAGCTACTCAAGGCAAGACAAGCTTACCTTGTTTGCCCTTTTATTATTCAGGGGGTGTTTATACTGCCTGTTTTCCAAGAATGTACAAATGCTCCATACTCTCAATTAAACAACAAGGGTGTTTTCAAACAAATGAACTGTAGTTCTAGACGTGTACTTGAAGCTTAAAAGTTGGAAAGAATCATGGCAAAGCTTGGGGGCAGTTTAAATTATACGATCATGCCATGTTTGAAAATGCCCATCACCCACCTCTGTGGGCAAATGTCCCCAAAGGGAGATCTGGAGCTGAGGGGGCAGGGTGGGGGACACCTTCTGGTATGATCTGTCATTGGGTTTACTGATCACCCCATCGCCAGCAGACAGAGCTGTTTTTTCTTTTCCTTTTTCTTTTTAAAAGAGGGATTAATTTAATAGGTCTTTAGTTTACAGACTTCCAGAATTTGACCCACGCATGGCTTTTACAGCTCTGATTCCTGGCCCAATACCAAGATTTTTGAAAGCTTTTATGTCAGGCTCTGGATCTTGGTATACCGTACTGTATAGTCTTTTACCAACACGTGCAGACGCCGTGTAACTTCCTGTCTAGTCAATGGAGAAGCAGTTGGGAAATTTTCCCCTGCCCGCACGAGGAAACGTTTGTCTGCACTGACAGTTTCGAAGGGTTAAACTCCCAAAGCTGCCCTCTCGGCGACAGGCACGTCCTGGCATTTCAAATCATCTCCGCCAGGCCTTTTCCCTTCCGCAATAAAAAGCGCCGGCTCGGGGCCCCGCTCAGAATAAAAGTTGCTTAAAAATAGCCCTTCCGCGTGATTACTGGGGAGCCCTGACTCGTTCGCCCCAAGAGTACAGGCGTCCTCCTCGTTCGCGTGGCCCTCCTTGCCTTGAACGGCAAGTACAGATGTCCTCTGTGACCTTGCGCAAAGCGACTCCGGCCTGTTTTATTATTACATTTATATGCCGCTCATCTCCCCCCAGAGGGTGACTGGGGGAGGGTTGGGGATTGGCTGTTTCTCTCCCCGCCCCCCGTCTCTG